TTTTAAAAACAGTTTTTAACATTTAGCCTTGATAATATTTGGAATTACTTGTTCACATGTGAAACATACTGTGTTTTTATTGAAATGAGTTGAATTTCCTTGGCTGCCTTGGAGGAGGCCTGCTTTTTAGGAAAACATCCTGGTTACCTCTGAATATGGTGCATGTCTTTCCAAGTGTCTTACCTCTCTGGTGACTAGAAGTTTTCCTGCCTAAAATTAATATGTTTTTCCTTCTAGGTATACAAATACAACAGACTGGATATTATAGAAACCAACATAAAGCCTTCCATTTTAGAAGGTGAGGGTTATATTTTAGATAGAATTCTTCATTTGGAAGTATAGGGAAGGAGAAAAGAGAGAGATGGGAGTGTCTCCCTCTGTTACTGCCTTTTTAGATAATATGTTGTCTAGACTTAATCAAAATTTCCCACTGGGTATATTTAATTCTGACCAGAATTTTTTAATATACTAAAGTATTAGATGGTACACACAAAAGATTTGAATGTTAGAAACCTATGATAAAATACAATTAAGAATCTTTATATTTGGGAATAGTTGGTAAACGTGAATATGAACTATATTATAAAAATAGTATTGTATCAGTGATAAATTTCCTGCATTTAATAATTGTGGTTATGTAAGATAATATTCTATTATTCTTAAGAGAGAAATGCTGAAGTATTTAGGAATGAAGGATCATATCTGCAACTTACTCTTAAAACTTACTCTCTTACTTCTTCCACAGAAGTAATAATGTGTTTGTGTGTGTGTGTGTGTGTGTGTGTGTGTGTGTGCGCGCGCGCACAGAGAAACAGGAAACAAAAAAATACAGTAAAATGTTAACAATTGGTAAATCTAGGTGAGGAGTATATGTGTGTTCATTGAACTACTACAACTTTTCTGTAGATTTGGAATATTTCAAAATATTCAAAAGTTCAAAAAAAACACCTTTGCAAATGAAGTGTATAATTCCTAGAGAACATATGGATATTACCAGTTCTAGAATACTCACATGGTCACTGTGACCCCTTAAAAGCAAGACGGAAAAGGAGGAGGACCTCAGTTTGATTTACAGAAATCTTAGGGAGTGAGGGTTGATTTAAAGTTCTTTCTTCGTAAGCAAGACTACCCCGTAAGTAATGTCTGGACTTTCTGACATTTACATGTGTTCACATCCTTACCCTGCCTGTTCCTCCATTCCTTATCCTAATTAAAACTGTTGGTGAAGTACTTTTTGTAGCATTCATTTTAGGTACCCCTAATTGGATACTAAAGGCATCATTCCTGGCCCTATATCCATCCAGCCAGCCATTACTTAGATTTTTACTACTAATGAGAACCTAGAAAAATGCTGATAATTCATCTGTATAGACCTTATATCTGTTAATAAGATGTGGCTTTGGATAGTAGCATTTTGCTTTTTTTCATGTGTTTTATTAGTGTCATTTTTTTCTCATGTATTTTTCCATTGGCAGTAATTTCCAGAAATCATTAGATACATTTATTCCACACCCATGGGTATTTTGATGAATGTGTAGGAAGAAACTGTCAAATAGTCTTCCTCTTATCTTTGTTAACAGCTTCCTGTACACTCGTTTTATTTGCCAGTCCTCTCTTGGGTTAGATACCAAGTCTTCATTCAGGTGATTTTACAAGTATAGTGACAGAGAGTATTCTGGGATGATGTTGATGAACTCTACAATCTGGAATCTCAATCTCTAGTAAACTAATGCTCGTTAAACAAAAAGCTTGTTTGGAAGACCTAGTAACCTCTTTATTTTTGTTGAATTCTAATCCTGCCCTCACCTCCTTCCCTCTTAGTTTTTTCTCTTTGCTTAAACATCATACTCAAATTATTTTCCATTCTGCATCTCTAGCCCAGAAAAATTATATGATATTTTTGGACTCTCAGACAACCACATTCAGTCGCCACAAGAAACGTTTATTGGTGGTTCGAAAGCTCAAGGAGCAAGCACAGCAGGTGAATCTGGGTGAGTGTCTGCATGAAGACCTTGAGACTTGCTGGG